CAAGGAATCGAAACCTGGATTTTAGCGTTGTAAGTCCGTAGATGTACCGCTACCACACGGGAGGACAACCGAAATTGACAGATGAATTAATAAACACTAACAACAATTAACAGAGTATATCTACAGTTAACCCTCCTGACCAAAAATTGTGAACTGGTGAGAACAAATAAACCACAGATGTCTTTAAAATCATATTATAAGTAAGCTCTGGTGACACAAATAGTTTATTTGTTTTTTAGAGTAAAGCCACATTGCACTATGTGCTATGTCCACCGCAAGGAATCGAAACCTGGATTTTAGCGTTGTAAGTCCGTAGATGTACCGCTACCACACGGGAGGACAACCGAAATTGACAGATGAATTAATAAACACTAACAACAATTAACAGAAAAGTTTCTCTAAACAGCCAAACACTCCAATACGTTCTTCCTTCATTTACCTTTTTTTCCAAAATTAAATATATTGTTGCGTCAGCGAGTCACATGACCACCGTGACGCCACGTTTCTAGAACTATCCTGTAATTTGGCGAATGCTCTAGTAATTACTAGATATAGGGTAGGCTGGTATATAAAAGAGGGGAATGTAATGTGTGAGTAGTCAGTGAGTAATTGAACTGCAGTCACGGGGTATTGTTGAAGTTAACGTTCGTTCGTTATAGTATTTGTTTTAGCGCGAGTATTGAGATTAAGTGTATCGCAGAGTTATATTCGGAAAGAATAAACCAGTTTTATTAAGTAAAGACTTGTGTCGCTTAAGTTTCGTCGGAACGAAGTTACGGAAAATCAATTAACAAACGGAGACGTAACAATATCTTACACATTAACTAAAAATGTAATAACAGTTTAAAATAAATGTTTTGTTCCAGAAGAAGATAATTTTTTTAAAAATCATTTTGACCACAGCACAGCAGAGGCCTGGCATGGCCAAGTGGATAAGACGCTCGACTCACAATCTAAGGGTCGCCGTCCCACCAAACATGCTCGCCCTTTTAGCCGTGGGGGCGTTATAATGTGACTGTCAATCCCACTATTCGTTGGTAAAAGAGTAGCCCAAGAGTTGGTGGTGATGACTAGCTGCCTTCCCTCTAGTCTTACACTGTTAAATTAGGGACGGCTAGCGCAGATAGCCCTCATGTAGCTTTGCGCGAAATTCAAAAAACAAACAAACAAGATCACAGCAGAAAGCTAATCACATCCACCGCCACGAAATGATCGTTACATTCACCGTGATAAAAAAAATTGTCAAACCTATCAATTCGTTATGGTTTTATTCCCCGCGGATAGACAGAGCAAAAATAGCTCTTAGTGTAACTTTGCACCAAAAATAATATCAATTTACATTTTGTTTATTTGCGAATTTCGTTTCTTCACCAAAACGTAAATATCAGTGAAGAAAAGATGACGTGTAGAGGCCTAATATATTCGCTACTTCTGCTACAGGTCAAAATGATGATGACAAAACCTCGTCGAAACTTTGTACATTTGCTGTTATGTTAAACTTATATTAAAGTTTTTCTTCATTACCCATTCAAGCCGTCTCCAACCATTATTAGTCTCAAAGTGTGTTCCTCGTCATCGAATTTGAATACAGCAGACCAGTTTCACTTGAGAGAGCGAAGCGAATAAACAAAGTAGGCCTCATATAGTGGTGGAATTTAAGAAATAATTTGTATCCTGTTTCATTCTTTTCGTATTCCGGAAATTAATGGCACACATCCCATAAAAAATTCGAAGTGTACAATTCCATATCGCCAAGATGAATCTTTCACAAAACAGCTGTTGTTTGTGACGTTATTTAATATCATTTGATGAATTTTCCACATTTTATATGCTTTTTCAGTTCATTTCTAAATAAATAATATTAATACCTTCCGAGTGTATTTGGTTATTAGGTTTATTTTGAAAATTTTACATGTGGTTGATTAATCGTTTGTAATCCCACGTTTCACCAGTATTTTGAACAGTTGCTTTTATTTTTGGATACAGGATCTGATATATTTTTTTAAGAAATAACTAAACATATAATTTCATATGAAATATCTCTTTCTAACTTAATCTAATTTTTTTCTAACAGAAGTAGGAAACAGCAAGTCAAGCAGGACTCTTCCAATAAAGATGTAAGTAAATTGACTGTTTGTCATGAGAAGTTGTTAATAATACAGAAAAAAGGCTATTGTTTTGCCCAGTTTCCGTACAACCAGTGTTTCTGTTGTTTTTTTCCTTGGGTAAGTTCTGTAGACTTTCAAGAAAAGGTCAAACAGAAACTTATTTTTAGAAATAATTAATACTATAACTTATAAGTGAAGTGTTTAAGTTGCCTCATCTATACCTAAGTACCTTATACGTAGTTCACCGTTAAAATATAAATGAGCAAATGCAGCAAAAACATAATTGTTGTCTTTGTTATTTACCAAATAAAATTTAGTGTACATTCAATCAAATGCCATTTACTTTTATGTTGTTACATGAAAATACATCTGTTTCTGTATTCATGGAATCAAGTTGAATGTTAGGGAAACGTGAACTATGGAGGACGAAAGTATTATCACAGCACAAGGTCATATTTCGTAAGATGTATGAACGCTTATTACGTCATTTATGTGAATCACAGAACAAAAGCTAACCTGAATAAGTTTGTCGTTATATTAGGCCTATCTCTGATCGCTGTATTAACGCCTGAGTGCATCCTGTGTGAAAACGCATCAGACTGTAACAGTTTCAATGCATTGCGGGCGAAACCACGGGAAAACGAACCTAAATTTTCATTTTCCTATATCCTGTTGGTAAGCCTATAAAAGTGTCTTAATTGGCTAATCTAGATTTGATAGCCATTGTTTGGGTAATTATCTTTGAAATCAAACCCATATTTCTGTAAGCTGGATAGATTCGTTGACCTCCATTTTGCGAACTGAAAATCGAAACTAAATGTTGTAATTGAGCAAAATCACTTCAATGGCTTTCATTGGTCACCTGTTATAGAGGGCGGCTGATGCCTTTTTTTTCATTTGATTCATTTAAGCTCTTGTAACTCAATCATAGTGCGGTAGAAAGCGCAAGTTATTCGTTTGTTTGTTTTAGGGCCAGGCTTTCTTAAGTGTCCAATTGGATGTCGCCAGTGTTCTGGGGCAAATTTCTCTGAGTGCGTACCCTACACAAACATATTGTTACATATCTACTTGTTTGTTAATTTCCGGTATAAATTCTTTCCGAGAAACTTCAGAGATACAAGTCCTTTCTTAATTAAAACTAGTTATTCTTTCTCGATACAACTTTGTAATACACAGAATTTCCACAGTCACTTTAAACTTAACAACCTTTATAACGCACGCTATAAATCA